CAAATATCTAGGATTAATTTAATTTAATAAAAGGCTAGGACGGTATGTCATACGGAAACGCAGTATGTCCGGGACAATAACTCGTACCGATACCTATGAAAGAAAACAGCATCCAAACTGAACAATTACTCAAAAAGTGTTACCGGGACCCTGCTCCATTGATTACGATAGCTTGCCGAATTCAAATGCGGTCGTAAAGATAGTTCAAACACTCCTGACGATGGAGCTGCGCGAAGGCGAAGTCAAAATTCACGTAAAGACAGAAAGGTTCTATTGTAAGTGGAATTATACAGGGCACAGTACAATGCGTTTCGCATGGAAGTGGGGGCTAAACCAAATTTCGTCTACGGCGCCGTGTTCAGGAGTGGCACTATCTCTACCGACACCAATATTGAGCACGATACTGAGTGCTCCGAGAGGCCAAATGATGCGGTTGTTCCCGAAAACATCGAAAAAAAAAAGAAGAAAATTATTATGGAAATCCGCAAAGTGAAGTTGCAAGAGATAGCTGACACTGAAAGTTATCAAAGCGTAGCATTTTGACTAGTATATATGGACATTTAGGTATGAGAAAGCTGTTTTCCAAATTGGTGCTGCGTTTTCTCACACCAGAGCAAAAATCAGAAAGAATTGATGAATAGCTATTTTATAGATGAATAATAGTTATGTACTATAGCAATATAGTACATAACATGTCCATACGGTCCTATGAAGCGCCGTTTGGACATCTTTAACAGAAATAAGCCAGGAGTTTTTGCATTGGTATGTTACAATAGATGAAACATGGAGATCACTTCACTCCGGAATAAAATCGGTAGTCATCTGAGTAGACAGCACCCGGAGAAAGCCGCCCAAAGCGTCCAAAGAAGCAACAAACCGCAGGAAAGATTATAACCTCTGTATTTTGGGACCTGCAAGCAATTATTTTTATTGAATACTTGGAAAATGATGACACAGTCAACAGCGACTACTATATTGGTTTATTGGAGAGTTTGAAGAACGAAATCGTAAAGAAAAGGCCTCATTTGTTCAAGAAAACATTTGTGTTTTACCAAGACAATGCACCGTGTCACACGTCGATGAAAACGATGGCAAAAATGTACAAATTGGACTATTAATTTTTTTCCTCAACCATCGTGTGGTCCAAATCTGTTCCCCAGTGAAAATAAGAAAAGCTTTGGAATTTTGTATCACAGCTAAACGAGATTATTTTGATCAATAAAGTATAATTTTTGCAAAATATGTTGTTTTACTAGTTAATGGCCCGGGACTTAATGACCAACGGGTTAATTTTAAAAAATCACTTCAAATGTTTAAAATGCTCACAAAAGTTCCATCCTCGCAATGTGTAAGACTATTGATTCATTGATTAGTCTAATACGAGTAAAAACGAATTTATGTTTTTTGTTCTTGTTTTTTTTTTTTGTATTAAAACAATGTAGTAAGAGATAAATGAGTACTATCTTGTATGTAACTGTTGACAAACCAATTCACAGTAATAAGTTGTGAATAAAAATGGTTCATTTATGTGCAAAAAGATGATCGGCTATGGCGATCGTGTAAAAAAGCTAAATCTTTGGATCCAAAACAAGCTTATAGACCCATTTTTTATCGACAGAAACTTGACTGTTGACAAGATTTATATTTTCTAAATAACCAAATTATTCCTGTACATAAACAGAATATCCAGTTACTAAAAAGTTTTTGGTTTCAACAAGATCCAACAAGGACGCGTTCCTACTATTATCCAAGGGTTAGAAAGTTTTTTAATGCAAATTTTGCAAATCGATGGATTGGATGTAGAGGATTCATAAAGTGGCCTGCTAGTTCTCCGGAGCTTAATCCGTTAGATTTTTTCTTTAGGGTTTAACTGTCTCCATGGAGGTCATACGTGACCTCCCTCCTTTACATAATATAGATAGAGGAGGCGAAGGTAGCATACAAAAGGCGGATAAAGACGCCAGGAAGCAGGACGAAAGGATATCAGACTCAAATCTGTAGAGATAATTAAAAATCGCCCAGAAACGGTAGCAAATGAAATGCAATATAAAGAAAATTTTGAAAAGCCGTTCACTAGAGTATACGGAGGGAAATCGAGGCTGAAGAAAGCCGAGGTAATGATTCTACTATCTTCCAAGAGGAAATTTATGCTGTAAAGATGTGATTGAGGGATCACCATCTGAATAGATGATTGGAATTTCAAAGATTACTGTGCTATGTCCTCTCAAAATGTCCACATACAGGGTAATGAAGGTAACAAAGACTATTTAAAATCAGTACCTAAATTTAAACCAGATGATGTACCAAACAAATTGTTAAAATACGCCGGAGAAACGATAATTAAAAACATAGAGGTACCGTTTCAAGAAACTTAAAATAGCAAGCATCTACCATACCAGTAAAGGATCAGCATTATAATTTGAATACACCAAAACGGACATAGTAAAAATCATACCGATTATTGTATATTCACCTTACTCAACACAACTCTTAAACTGCTAACAAGGATAAGATTAATGAGAAATGCATAAAAATGTAATAAACAGCAAGAAGGCTTTCAACAAAATAGATCAACTATAAATCCCCTACTCACAGCCAGAAAAATGCATTAGAATATGACAAATCTGAATATGTTCGATAACTAAAGATAGAAATAGAGCAGAGAGATCAGAAACGGTAAGAATAATTAGAATATACAGCTAATAAAGAGGAACTGTGGAGAAAAATCTATAAAAATTATATCAGATAGTCATTCGGCATTAAATGCACTGGAATTGAATCTAATTGCCTCCAACTGGCTCCGTTGACTCCAAAAAAACGTAACAAAGTAAGTTTACACTCTGGGTGCCTGGACATATTCGTATTGAAGGAAACAAAAAAGCAGACCTACTTGCCAGTGGAGGGGTAAAAGAAACATTAATGGACCCAAAAACTTTCGTTGGCATAGGCGAAAGCACAACCAAAAGAACAATATCAGACAATATTCGAAGACTTTTATACATGAACCTTCAAAAAAAGAGATCCAAAGATCTACTAGATATGAATGATCTACTGGACAAATGATGTGTGAATTATCGTAGTGCTCCCAACAGGATACTGTCGCTTCAAGGGTCATATGAACAAAATGGGACTGACGGAAAGTATGAATTGCAAATTGGGCAACGGTTGGGCACCTTCTGTGCAACTGCCCAGGGTTGGACAGGATAAGGTCCAATAATTTTGAGCATTATCAAATCGAACCCTAAATATCACCAAAGACCATAATAGACTTTGTTAAAAAGATGGACTAAAAAAACAAATTTAACCTAGAGATGAGACACAATAGACCTCTAATGAACCTAACCTGACAGATTAATGAAAAAAGAGTATTTACTCTATAATATTGTTCGGAAGCATTAACTCAGCATTTTAATATTATTTACTATCTGTAATGAGAATTAACCACAAGTTTAATTGAAAATATGTTTATTTTGACGTTTCGATTTCCATTTCAGGAGTGAAAAATAAAAAAAAATTCCTTTGACCTACATATATACTCGGTTCGTTAATTACAGTCCGAACTGTTTAATAAGTTTATTATGTTATTTTTGCTAGGTTGGTTAAATTTTGACCGACTGGCTGGAAATTACGATGCAAACAAGCAACACGCTCATAGCATATTATTTACATAGCAAAAAGTATTTACATGCAGTTATTAAGAAAATAAAAATGTTACAGTCGTTTATATCTTAGTATTTACAAACGAATGATTATACACTCCCATTATTCATGATTATTCTTCTCTTTTCAATGAAATAAACTGTAACAAGTTTACTTGAGCTATTAATAATGAGACAGGAGGGGAAGACACTTGTGGCTCCAAAACCTGTGGAAGCTTTTCAAGCTCACATTGGTCGAATTATTCAAAAGTGACGTAAACAAGATCAGAATTACCTTCTTCGAAGCGGATAGGGCACTTGAAGAAGAAGGAATTTTTGTGTCATATTTTTCCAACAATAAATATGTCAAAATTTTCCCATTTTTTCTCAAAAGTCCCAAAGGACTATAATAATGAGGTTACTCTACTTTTGCATCGTGTGCACCATGTCAGTGTAAAGGATTATTAAAGATAACATATAATTCTTTGAAAAAGAATGAAACACAAAAAACATATTTAAAAATACAACATTAATATATTTCTAATTAATAATAGACTAAAACTTTACTTTAAATGTCATTATCAAAATGTCAGTCGATGTACTCTGAATTCAGTGATTACTATTTTTCAATAGATATTTACAATTTCTTTGCCAATACCATTATTAAAACCTAAAGCTGGGGATGCGCAAAGATTTCATAGGAAATCACGAAGTGATGTTAATAATTGAAATAAAAATGGTAAGGATAAGACATGCCTACTAGGATTATTCAATCTCTTAAAGAGTTTTTCTAAGCATATATCATAAAATTATTTACAACCGCATTTCATGTGTACTTTTCACTATTTTGAATTAATTTAAGAGACAGAATAATATTTTTTAAATATATTTTCATATATAAATAGACTGTTATCTGTTAAAAAACTCTAAAAATTCATATACATGGAATTAAATCTCTTGTTCTGCTTTCTTCAGTAATAAATTACAGACACATTTGATATATTGCTAAATGTAACAATCAAATGCCCCTTTTTATACAATCGGAAGTTAAAAAAGTTGTGCCTTTACAAATTGTCTTCTAGAAAACAAAGGACAACATATATATCTTTCCTGTCCTCACACAGCGTACATAAATTAAGTGTCTCCTTAAAAATTGTATTTTCTACAATAGAAAAGAACAACTCGGAGGATATGGATAACACAACAAATGTCACGTTTTGACAGCTGCAATTTGCCACTGACTGGTTGCGTTTAAATAATTGACCGTTCGTGTTTTACACACACATTCACTATGAGATCACACTTTGCCGCGCGTTACCAAAGTCTGTATGTAACGCACTTACCTGCAGATTGTGGACTCGACTATGAAAGTCTCGGCCTTTTCGTCACCTCACCCTCCTCATCTTCTTCGTCCGAATCACCGCCTTCATAATCTACTAAACCCTAAAAATGTTGATTGTGGATTAATAACAATGTACATGGTTCAAATCTGTGAATGTATAGCAACTACTAATGTCGCCAATATACAAAAAAATTAATTAAATTAATGAAAAGTTGAGAGTAACAAAATTTTATTTGAAAGGTTTAATACTCTGTGTCGGACTGAGACTGTGCGTCTGTGCTTTCTGTAGGTTTATAAATGTTAGATAGAACATGTTCCCCTATTCACTTTCTTTTCAATTAATCGTTTTAAAGTGAATACATATCAACACATAATCATCTTGGTCTGAACCCATTTTGTTCTTCTGCTTTGGTCGTTTATACCCACTTTCAATTTCTTTTGGCGTTACTGTAATGCTCGTGTAGTTATCGCATATTGTCCAATCTCCCTTTTTACGGATTAATGATAAAAATCATATTTTTCATTTATTTAGATTTTGCCATATGAATGCATTTATCAAATAGCTTATTAACATTATTGTTAATTTGTCTTCTTCTTCTTAACGTGCCCCATCCCTAAGGACATTGACGATCATCATGGCCCATTTGACTCTATCTGCAGCCGTTCTGAAAAGTTCTATTGATGTTTTCTCACTCCATTGTCTCAGATTCTTCAACCAGGACATGCATCTTCTCCCCGGTCCTCTTTTGCCTTCCATCTTCCCTTGTATGACCAACCGCATCAATTCGTATTTCTCGTTTCTTAGTATGTGACCAAAGTAGCTCATTTTTCTTTTCTTTATAGTGTTGAGTATTTCTTTATCTTTTTTCATTCTTCGTAGCATTTCCGCATTTGTTATGTGTTGTGTCCAAGATATTTTCCACATTCTTCGATAACACTCGCCTCATATCGCCTTCGATAACATTCTCTGTCGCCTCTGTAATTGTCCAGGCCTCAACTCTATACAAAAGGACAGACAACACGTAGCATCTCAATACTCTAGTTCTAATTTCAATGTTGAGTTTTCCATTGCATAATATTGCTTTCGTCTTATTAGAAGCACTTCGAACTATCTCAATAGTCCGTTTTATTTCTGTACTTCTATTCCATTCTTCATTTAGTTTGCAACCTAAGTACTAATATCTGTGCACCCTGCCTAAAAGTTTTCCTTTAACATAAATACTGTCTTTCTCAATCTTGTTCTTGCTTACCATCATGATTTTTGTTTTATTTGTATTGTGCCATTGCATACCTTTCGCAGTATTGGGTAATGCGATCAACCAAGATCTGTAGTCCTTCTCTGGTCTCCGCAAGAAATATTGTGTCATCTGCGTATCTAAGATTATTCAGAAGTGCTCCGTTAATAAATATGCCTTCATTTAAGTCTTCTAATGCCTCTTTAAACAATTCTTCTGAATACATATTAAAAATTAAAGGGGAAAGCACACATCCTTGTCTTACTCCACATTTATAGGTATTTCTTTCGATTTTTGTTGGTCTATTCGTATTATGACTGTCTGATATCGGTACAGATTGGCAATGATTCTCACGTCTTCGTCATCTAATTCTGTGTTCTGCAGTATTTTTGCCATTGTCCGGTGTTGTACTTTGTCCAAAGCTTTTTCAAAGTCGACTAGACATTTGAATACGTCGCAATTGATATCTCGACATCGTTCGATTAGTGTTTGTACAGTAAATAATGCTTCTCTGGTGCCAAAGTCTTTTCTGAATCCCAATTGGTTTTCAGCTATTCTATCATCTAGCCTTTTATAGATACGTTCGTGTATCACTCATAAGAACACTTTTAGAATATGGTTCATCAAGCTAATTGTCCTGTGTTCTTCACACTTCATTGCGTTTGATTTTTTGCGTATTGGAATGAATATTGATATTAACCATTCTTTCGGAATCTCTCCCGTATAATAATTGTGATTAAATAATTCTTTTAGTATGCCCATATGATTTTTTGTTAATATTCTTAAGATTTCTACAGGTATTTCATCTGGTCCCATGGCCTTCTCATTTTTTATACGTTTTAGCGCTTTCTCATGATTCTTTTCGTCTTTGGTGATTGGTGGCCCATTTCTTCCTCTTGGTTCAATGACCTCAATTTTCTCGTCGTCTTCGAATGTATTCTTCCCATCTGTTTATTTTATCTGTACATTCCGTTATCTTGTTATTTTTATCCATGATATTTCCGATACCCTTTTTCTTGTATATGCCAGCTGTCTCTTTGATTTTCCAGTGTATGTTAAAACTGTCATGTTGTTTATCTAACCTTTCTATTTCTTCACACTTTTCTGATAGCCACAGTTCCTTAGCTTCTTTGATTTTCTGTTTGATTGTTTTATTAATTTTTTTACTGTTGTTCGTTTTAATTCTTGTGTGCCCTTCTTTCCGTCATCGGTTCTCTTATCTCTTGTATGATCCATTATTTATTTTTAGATGATGTGTCTTCTTGAAGTTTTTGATTTGTGATTCCTCCATTTATCTGATGCTGTCAATTGCTTTTGCTTTTCTACTTCCTGAACTTCTTTGTGCACTTGTTCTTTGATTTGTTGATATATATATATATATATATATATATATATATATATATATATATATATATATATATCCTCTAAAATAACAGCTGATCTGGTAGATGAAAAGTGAGTTGAGGTTAATTGGGTATACAGCTGAATAAAAGCCAAGTGCACTCTGTTCAACAGTTCATTATATTTCGCCAATTTTCATTGGCATCATCAGATGAAAGCTACAATTATTTAAAACATGGTAAAAATAAATAAAAATAAAAATAATAAAATACATTCAATAGTCTTACTTGATTGAGGTTGTGGCAATATGATTTATGTTATCATCAGAAAGGTTTGTGGTATGATGTGGATTGTAGTTTTTTTTGGATATATAACATGTAGTTGTAAAAATGACAATTAAAATATTAAATGACAATATATAAATTAAAAAACAAAATAAACATAAAAACGTTTAGTTCGTAGATAGTCATTAAGGTTTAGTACTAGAAATACCAAATATCGAATGTTATTGATTGATGTGTAGCAGGAGATAATTAGTTCTATTATAGTAGTTGTTTATTGATAAGGATTTACTGTAAAAGTGTGTTTTAGATAAAAAATTTAAAAAATTTTTTTTTTTTTTTTTTTGAAAATTTTTGAATTACATGTTGTGTTACAATAATTATTTAATAGTTATGTTTGTTTTTTCGATATGTAATAGATAAGCATAAATCTCACTCAAATGCTCAACATCTGATTTCTTATTTATTAAGTTATCCATTTGGGTGATAAATGCCATCTCGAGGAAGAGTCTTTTATTGAGATTATTCTCCATTGCAAGAATCTTTGTTTCGTTGTAGTTCATTACATGGTGTTCATTATGTACGTGTTTTGCAAGGGAACATCTATCGGGATATAGTCTGCTGTCACTCATGTGGGAAATGATACGATTTTTTAGGTGTCTGTTGGTTTGGCCAATATATTGTTTGTTACAACTTCCGCAAGGGATACAATAAACTATATTGGATAATTGATCTGTAGGTGTCTTATCTTTTAGTTTAGTGAATATCGAGTTAATGTTTAACACTGTGTAATTCGCGATTTTTATGTTAACGTCAGTTGATTTAAAAATTCGTGTAAGTTTTGGTGTTAACTCTTGTATGAACGGTAATCTAAAGTATTTAAATGGAGTTAAATTAGTGTTAGTGGTTGTGTCTATTGTGGGTGTAGTGTTTTGTAGTGTGTGATTAGGGATAGTTTGTGTTACAGATAATGTATCGTTTGTTGTATTGAATAGTAATTTGGTAAGTAATGTGTTTGGATATGAATTGTCTAGAAAGAGTTGTTGCAGGATTTTTAGATTTTTATAATGTAGCGATTGATCAGCAATCAGTAAAATTCTGTTTTTCATTTGTTTTATAAGATTAATTTTTGTGCTATGCTTATGATATGACCAATAGTTAATATATCTTCCGGAGCTAATAGGTTTCCTATACCAATCTGTTGTTATTACGTTGTTGTTGTTGCGTATTAGTTTAGTGTCAAGGAATGGGACTGATTGATGTTTGTCTTCTGTTTCTACTGTAAATTTTATATGTCGGTCAAAGTCGTTAAAAATGTATAATAGTTCATTAATCATGTCTTTTGGTAGGGCTAAAATTATATCGTCGACATATTTCTTTAGGAAGGTTATTTTGAATGGAAGAACAGGAATGACTATATCTAAGAGATCGTCCATAACATATAAGGCCAGAATGGAACTCACACATCCTCCCATGGGGGTGCCTATTTTTTGTTTATATATTTTGTTGTTAAAGGAGAAGTGTGTGTTATTGAATAGGAATCGGATTAAATCTAAGAAGATATCTTTATCGATTTTGCAATGTATACTTATGTTGGACCAATGTTTGTTTATGGATCTGAGACAAGCGTCTAAATAGATATTAGTAAAAAGGGAAACGACGTCTAGACTTGCAAGAACATAGTTATTAGGAAGTTGTAATCCATTAAATGTTGTTTTTACATCGAATGAGTCCTTTATGTAGTATTTATTATTGAAGTCATATGATGCTGTTAGTATATTTTTTACAAAGTTTGCAATACTTTCAGTTGGAGAGTTAATTGACGAAACAATAGGTCTTAGTGATAATGTCGGTTTGTGTATTTTTGGTAATGCATAGAATTTTGGAGAGTTACTGTTATATTTTGTTAGTTGTTTTTTGGTAGGTTCGTCAATAAATTTCTTATCGAATAAGTTCTGTACTAGTTTATTACTTTCTTTTTGTATTTTAAGTGTAGGATCAGAATTTAATTCTATATATATTTTATTATCATCAAGAATTTGTTGTGATAGTTCTGTATAATCTGTTTGTTTCATGACTACAGTAACGTTCCCTTTATCAGATCTAGTGACTATAAGTTCTGGATGTTCTCTGAGAAATTTTTTTGTTTTGCCTAGTAAATGGTGAAAATAGTTGTTGGTCTTTTTATTGCGTTTAGCGTAATTGGTAATTACGTTTGTGGATCTAGCTCTTATGTTTGTTTTT